TTTAGCTAGCATTTAGCTTTTAGCTAAGGTTTTTAAATGTTAGCTAGGATTTTACTATTTTTAGCTTTTTGCAGTTGTTCTGCTAATTTTAACTAGTGTTTTGCTACCTTTAGCTTTTAGCTATGGTTTTCAAATTTTAGATAGCTACGTTTAGCTTTTTGCTGTTGTAGCCATTTATACCTTTTGTGGTCAATGGACTGTATGGAAAGTGCTTTACAACACAGTTGACGCACTCTGCTACATTTTGACAAAGTTAATCTGAATAATAATTCTGTGGAGACTAATCCGAGCTTTAGGCCACATTCAAATGCAGCTGGGACCCGTCAGAGGCCATGAGGGGGTCAGTGTCCTGCCCACATGCAACTGTTGACTGGAAGTATCAAACCTCCAACTCTCTCACTGGAGGACTAATGCTCAACCACTCAGCCACAGTCGCCCCACTTTTAGCTACCACGTTGTCATATTTAGCTCTTAGCAAATGCTCCCCTTCTGTTAGCATGACAACCCAACTTCAGCTTCTTCCATAAATGTCATCAATCATTCAATGCCCAGCATTCACACTACATTTTCACAGAAAACACTATTTATTTAGTTGGTTAATTCATCTGTACCACTATTAAAAGCATTTTGTCATCAGTGCCATCACTGACCAATCCACATGTAATTTATCGAATACCAAGTCCACAATCTGAAAATAAAAGAACATCACAGGGACGTGTGTCAGCAGATTATCTCTGATCTGATGAGTCAGCAGAACCATCAGATATTTGCAAATATCAAGAACACATCTGCTTTAACATGTGCAGCCCATACATTCAGAGAAATCTCTGCTAGCAGTCTAGTTCAATGTTCATAACCTTTGACCCCATGGATGGTAAAATCTGCTATTCCACTGTGTTGAGAACACACTTACAGGCTCCGGAGAAGCAAGGAAAACCATTGTCCTTGAACACATCGGTCTACTGCTGCAAACAGAAACCTAAAACTGGATCAGATTGAACAACTGAGCAGAAATGTCCTGTGATCTTTGGGTTGGAGGCACAGAGTGAGATTAGACAACAAGAGGGCGCATTGGTCACATGACATGATTCACTGGAGGGACCGGAGTCGTAACCAGAGAGGGCAAACATCTGGACTTAGCATTGTTGTAGATATTGGCAAAATGGACAACAGCAAGGGCTGATTATGTAGAAACTGTAAAAACACAAAACAAAACGCTAAATGGACTGTCCTTCTACAGCTCCTTTCTATCTGATCAAGATGCTCAAAGCTCTTTACAACAATCTGTGCCTCATTTACACAGCTCTATACTAGATCTCTACAAGCAATAATCAGAGTTTTATTACATTCATTCACTGATGGGACACACATCGGAGACAATGAGGGGTTCATTGTCTCGCCCAGGGACACTTCAACATTCCACTGCTGGTGGAATTGAACCACCAACTCTTGCATTGGAGGACAACTGCTCTAATCACTCATCCACAGCCACACACACACACACACACACACACACACACACACACACACACACAC